CCGGCCGGCCCGTCGGCGCCGCCCCCCCCCGCCTCCCCGCCTCTGCTTGTGCGTCGGCGCATTGCCCTCCGGTTCTCGCCCCTCCCGAAGATGGCCTCCCCCGCGTGCCCTGCACAAACATGGCCGCCGCATTCTAACCGTAAGGGCGGGAAAGGCGTGCAAGGGGCAGGGCCACATAGTGGATATCCCCGTAGTGGGGGGAGCTGCTGTCGTTGCTCCCTGTGTTGGCGCCTGCTGTATTGCAGTGCCCCCTGGTGGTGTTGGGGTTGTGGTTGGGGATGGATGATAATGGTAGCCCTCTGTGGTGATAGGCAGAAAAGGTGCTTTGGGTCAATATAACATCTTTTATTAGACCAATTTTAACTTGGTTTAGTTGGTCTAATAAAAGCTGTTGTATTTACCCAGAGAGCCTTGTCTGCCTATGTCCTTAGACCAGGGGTCGGCAACGTTTTGGGTCAGAGTGCCAAAAACACCCACAACCTTGACTTGTAAGATGTTGGTGTGCCAGGGGCAGACAGTGGGGGAGCTGTACGTGGCCCAGTTCTTGTTGTGGCAGCACAGCCCCGACCCCTTCCCTGCTGTCCAACCCAAGGCAGGAGTGCCAAACAAAATGTCTCCAAGTACCACACTCTGGTGCAGGGACGGTCAATTATTTTTGGCAGAGGGCTGCTTACTGAGTTATTAATATTAATTTTCTAAATTTTTTTTTTTTTAGGGGCCCTGCAGGCTGGATAGAATGGCCTGCCAGGCTGCGTCCAGCCCCCGGAGCCGCATTTTGCCCACCCCTGCTCTGGTGCCTGTGTTGGAGGTTGCCTTATCCCTGCCTTAGACCAACAGGCTACCACCAACACCCTGTAACATGAGGGATAGTAACATAAGGAGAAGTGCAAAGTCCTGCACTTCAGATGTAACAATCCCATGCACCAGTACAGGTTTGGGACCAGCTGGCTAAGCAGCAGCTCTGCAGGAAAAGACCTGGGGGTTACAGTGGACAATAACCTGAATAAAAGCCAGCAGTGTTCCCTTGTTGCTAAGAAGGCTCATGGCCTACTGGGCTGCATTGGTAGGAGCGTTGTCAGCAGAGTGAGCGAGGTGGTGGAATCTCCAGCCTTGGGGGCAGGGGAGACCTGGGCAGACAAAGCATCGACTGAGATGATCTAGTTGGGGCTGGTTCTGCTTTGAGCAGGGGATTAAACTGGATGACATCCTGAGGTCCTTTCCAGTCTTATTTTTCCATAATTCTGTGTCTTCCCCAGGCCAGTGAAGGAGTTCCTCTCTTTCTGGTACCAAAGGCTGGGAGGTTGCTAAATAAAGTGGATAAATATGGGCCTTGTCTTGGACAAAATCTGGGCAGCAGCCATCTCCATCAGCCTGCCCACCTCTCTTGATGGTTCCACCATCATCCTGAAGTGAAAGGACAAAATCTGCCCTCTCTGTCCCTGTGTGTGTGTGTAACCTCTGCTGCTGGGAGCTGCACATAGGTCTAGAGCTGAAATCATCTCTGTCCTGCCAGTTCCAAATGCAGGGCTGGCCCATCCTACACTGAGAAACCTGTGGCTGCAGGGGTCCCCACAGCCAGGCGGAGAGGCCACAGCCCTTCCCACATTTGGCAGTGTAGCCTGGCCACCTGCCCTGGCTGCCACCCCTCCCCCTGTGTCCAGTGTCCCAGGATGTTGGTTTCCTTCCCAGCCAAGCTGGGGAGGAATTCCTGGCCCCAGCCCTGAGGAGAGATCAGGAGGCCCCATAACTACATCTTGCAGGGGGCCCCCCAAAAATTGTGGGCTGGCCCTATCCAAATGAATGACTTGTAGTTTGTTCCCCCTCCTCCCACAAATCGGGAGGTGCATCTCTTTTTGCATTTTTTGCTTGGCTAGTTCTCCCTCCTCCTCCTCCTACTACCTCTTTTCCACCCCCTACCGCCTCCTCCAAACACACACATCCCTGTGTCTAAAGATGTTTTGACTTCTTTGATCTGTTCCTTTACTATGATGAGGTCCAGAAGTCCTCATGTAACTTCATCTCTTCAGGAGCCAGGGCTGCAAGTAAAACTTTTAATTATTGTTGGACCAGAATAAAGCCATGTATATTGGT